TGGTAACACATCAAGCTCTGCTACGCTCATCAAACTGCCTTCGTGCATACTTTCAGGTATTCTTGTAATAAACTTAAATTATCCAACTTAAAAAAAATAAGCTAGCATTAAAATATCTACCCATCACACTCCGTACATAGTGTAACCTGATTTGTTGCACTATTCAATTATCATTACAGGAAGCCAATAACTAGAGGCAACAAGTAATTGCATTACATAGACCCTGTGAGTTGCCAAGTTCAGGAAATGTATAAAAATTGAACATGAATTGTCAGAGCATGTCAGATATAGCTCTAGAACTGAGCTATCCCACACCACAATTACACCACATAAACTACAGCATTAATACACAAAATGTAATACTTTAATATATAATATTTCAATAAAAACTCACCCTCTAAATTTCCTGATATTTGTCTTCTGTATGCCCTCAGTAACCCTAACCACATATTTGGGCGCATAAAGCCAGACCAAAGCATCCAGCGTTGTTTGGGTCCATAAAAACGTTTCTGGAAAAATCAAATTATAATACAAAGCATGTTGTTTGAGCAAAGGTAACAATAACATTTGTAAATCCCTCATATTTCCTTGGATTCTACATAGGTAGTACTACAATAAACCACATATACCGGGTGTACAATTAATTACAAAATGGCTGCCAACAAGATTTGTTTCTGGTAATCTCACATGTCAGATCAAAAAGAATCACTCACAACTTTTTATCTGTTTTATTCAAAATAAAAATTTTTAATTTTAAAACCTAAATTCTTTCATACAAATTATCAGGTTTTGTTAAATTTAAAAATTGTAATACCAAAGTCAACTTTCATTTCAACAAGCAGCCTCTCGGCTGAGATAGCTCCGCTGTTATGCACATTTCAATTAAAGAACTAAAGATATCATTAGAAAATCAACAAATCTGAGAGAGGTCTACCTGAGGTCCTATATGTATAGTATCAAAGCAATCGAACATGCAGTTTTCAACAAGAAGTCGAAAATATTTTTACCAAAAATGACAAAAATATCAAAATTAGAGAATTGAAGATATTATCATGAAATGAACAAATCTGAGAGAAGACTACCTGTAGCGCCTATATGTACAGTATCAAAGCAATAGGACTTGCTGTTTTTACCAAAGATGACAAAAATATGCATCAAAATTTGAGAATTGAACCATAAATGAAAAAATATTCCCAAAAAATAGAGGTTTACATGTGATGTCATGAACAGATCTGACAGAGGAACATCCCAGGTAGATATGGTATGAATAGTAAGGCAATCCAGCTGACAGTTTTGGAGAAGAAGTCATTTGAATGAAAAAAGTTGACTGACGACAGATGTGGTCAACCCATGAGCTCTGCTCAGTTATCTTCGGTGAAAGCGGAGCTAAAAAGTTAACGTGGACGCCGACGGAAAATCACTTATTTGATCACCTCCGACAAAGTCAATATGAGAATAGAACACCAAAATGATGGGATTCATACTGTCTGCAAAATGTTATCAGGCAAAGATATCAAAAAAAGTCTAGCAGGGAAATAATTATTAATATATTGTACAAATTGTAAACTTTATTTACTTCTTCATCTAGAAAAATATCACCATCAAAATACTCAGCGAACTCATCAACACCTAGTTCCTCATGTACAACAGCAAAGATTGGTACATGGACACTACCGATGGCGAGTTCACCTCGCAGAGAGGACAGCTCTACAGCTTCCTAAAATAAATAAATAACAGATATGTCAGCATACTCTTTCGTGATTGGTTGACAGTCAAAAAGCCAGGCATGTATAAGCCAGCTGATGATTGGTTGACAGTCAAAATGACAGGCATGTATAAGCTAGTTGGTGATTGGTTGACAATCAAAATGATAGGCATGTATAAGCCAGCTGGTGATTGGTTGACAATCAAAATGACAGACATGTATAAGCTAGTTGGTGATTGGTTGACAATCAAAATGACAGGCATGTATAAGCTAGTTGGTGATTGGTTGACAATCAAAATGATAGGCATGTATAAGCTAGTTGGTGATTGGTTGACAATCAAAATGATAGGCATGTATAGGCTAGTTGGTGATTGGTTGACAATCAAAATGACAGACATGTATAAGCCAGCTGGTGATTGGTTGACAATCAAAATGATAGGCATGTATAAGCTAGTTGGTGATTGGTTGACAATCAAAATGATAGGCATGTATAGGCTAGTTGGTGATTGGTTGACAATCAAAATGACAGACATGTATAAGCTAGTTGGTGATTGGTTGACAATCAAAATGATAGGCATGTATAGGCTAGTTGGTGATTGGTTGACAATCAAAATGACAGACATGTATAAGCTAGTTGGTGATTGGTTGACAATCAAAATGACAGGCATGTATAAGCTAGTTGGTGATTGGTTGACAATCAAAATGACAGGCATGTATAAGCTAGTTGGTGATTGGTTGACAATCAAAATGATAGGCATGTATAAGCCAGCTGGTGATTGGTCGACAATCAAAATGATCGAATATGAATTGCTTGAGTTGTAGTATCCACAAGAAACAGAATTTACAGAGAGACAACAAAGAGGACAGACATTTTTCCTCATATACCTTTCCCTTCATGGCATGGAAAAGTAAAAATAATGAACACTCAATAACAAGCAGTGTTTGTTTTAACAAGCAAAGTGGCACTCCTTTTCTTACCTCTCTGCACAAAGATCATCCGGGCCGTCGAACCACCAGAACAACAGCTCCCGATTCTTTAAATAATTCGGCTGCTTTAAAATATGTTTTTTCTTTATCAAGATAGTTGAAAGAATATACATATCGAGAATGGTGTTTGCCCAAAATTTTTAGTGTTGTATCTTCTAAATATTTCAAAGTAGCTGGCTCTTTAGGCATCCAGAAATTCATATTAGCAATCATTACTCCAACAACCGCTGCCCCTAGTGACGCTGTCCATAGCATTCCCATGATGCAACAGCACTTTGTTCCTTTTTACATAAGTCTGTAAATAAGAAATGTTATATACATGTATGAAAGAGTAGTTACATAACATAATGTGAAAACAAAAATGAGCACCACAAATGTAGGATAATGCAATTTACATTTTTTATATCACTTTTCATTCTCTAGATATTCAACTTTTTATCAGTGTTATGTAGTTCACCACCTTGATTCGTTAGTAAAATTTGAAACATCACTGCAAAGCGTAGAAATTGACGAATTAGTGAGTTTGTGCATGTGTGCTAAAAATAATGCAGTGTACAACGGTAAATGGAATTGAAATAAGTATTGATAACACCATAGAAGTTTTTGTACGACAGTTGTTGAGGTACTAGTTTGTCCATGGTCATATGATATGTGTTTATATTAATGGAAAATCTGACCACTTACATGTGGCTCAGTAAGAGTTCATTTAATTAACGTCTTTGTCGCTACTTTCACAAAAATGGCAAATTCATACCATGACTTGTGTGCCAAAATTTACCTGTATGAAATTATATACCAGCCCTGAGAAACATGTATTTTAACACTCACCAAAATATTCACACCTTGTATTGTTCGCATTCAGATTTGCTAAAGTGTTGCATTTTATCAACGTACATTTTGTATACGCTATTGTACGTGCAATTTCCTGTCTTGTCTTCAATATAGTGAGACAAAATGAAGATATCCCGTTATTATCAAAGCGGTGTTAGACTGATTTCGGTCAAGGAATATTTTTTCACTTTAGATATTAGCGACAATCGTGTACACAATTGTATACCACAATTTGTGTCCCAAATTCCAAGAAACATTTTTCACTTATATATTGTAAAATAGAACTAGTCAACCCAACCTGTTAATATTATGTCTTATGTTGCGCGTCACAGTGTGTAATGGTGAGTTTGTGGGGGGGGGGGCATGTGATAAAATATCTCCAAAGTTTACAAAAGTACACTTGCTACTCATGAGTTTCTAAAACACAAAAATAACTAAAATATTGCCATTACGTAGGTGATTTATTTTGGCATTTTTGCCCATCATGAAGACAAATGCCTGTTGATCAGAAACAGTTTTTTTATTTTTTGCTTGATCCTTAAATGTCAAACATCCTGGTATTTTCTCTCGTAGCCCTATAACAGAAGTAATTTCCAATATTATTATATAATGTGAACTTTTGCCAGGATGTGTGTGACCTTGTTTGGGGGGGGGGGGTATGCATAAATGAAATGGAATCCACAAGTACTAAAACTTTAATTTCAATATCTAAATTTAATGTGATGCCCCAATTAATTGCGTACAGAAACAGGGATATATTTTACAAGGTCTTGAATAATCATACTAAAAATAGAGTCATCACGGCTATGGCATAGATTATAATAGAACTGGGTTTCATACAGGACTCGGACCCGGATCTTTTGAAATTGAATCTGGTACAACCCCCCCCCCCCACACACACACACACACACACACACACTCCCGAGTAAGCATTAATTGTTTTCCGAACTGACCAATTTCACTGATAAATTATGTTCACAAAAGCCTTCAGACATACCTGCACCGATTCTTCCAGAGCATGGCAAATTATTTGTTGTGGTTAATCATCAATTCCACAACATGATTCATCTACAGACCCTGTCGACTTAGTAAAGTTAATAGTTTTTAACCATCACAAACAGCACTAGTACACGCGAGACAGTAAGTAACATCCATTTCTTTTAACAGGAACGGTTAAAATTTATATAATGAAAAAAATATGTCAATAGATATTTTCCAAAAACATATACTAGTAATATTACATTTATTAACCACACAGTATCTGACTATTCACTCATTCAATGGGTCAACTGAGGTTAAAAATATTAAAGCGATCAGGTGATAAACCTTTACAGTAGGAGAAATATGATTGGTTAAAATGTGTCGGTTCCGAATTTCAATAAATATTAAACCAATCATGATCTCTTTTATACAGCAACGTTCTACGAACTGCACGTGATCTTTTTTTGAGTCATATGACCAGGTTTTTGTGCTAAGTACACGCTTGTAAATTGTAGGTCGTTGATTACGTTCCGTCACGATGAAGTTTTTACTTGTACTCTCTGTTTTAGTTTCGGGTAAGTGATTTATGATATGTTTCCGCCTAGTTGTTCGGCTGCTCTCTGTGCACGGCGCTGCGCTGCGCTCTTTGCGAGACGCCATTGAACTTGCACTTGCATCATCATTATGGGCCGACATGCACCTCTGACAAGACCGTGACTTGGATACTGACAATAGTCTGAGTGAATATTATTAATGGGGACAAAAAAGAAAACCAGAAGTATTGCAATATCGCTCACTGCTTAAATAGGCGTTACGTAATCTTTTGAAAACTGTTCGAACGAAAGCAATTTTTTTGCATGAATCAATGCTCAATGAATTGGAATACTTTTCTGGGAAATTATTTGAAAATTCACTGTTTATTTATTCAAGAGTGACGTGTGTAAACCAAAACAAACAAGTATCCGTTTTTCTTGGTATTTATATTATTCAAAATTAATAGGTGTTGATTATTTCAATTTCCGAAGGTGAAAGTCGGTGTAATTTATTCATGCGTTTGGAAAGAGTCGTAAATCTAAGTATTTAAAGGTGAAAATCAACAAATTGGAAAGGTAACTAATTGTTACTGCTAAGGTATTTACCATAAACAAATGCTGTAACAAAAATGGATCAAATGTCCGGAAAATACAGTTACGTGAACTTAAAATTCATGCAATGTTATTTTATAAGGTACATTGAGATTAATACTGTAGGTATATGTAATCATTACAGCTTCCTGGTATATGCAACACATTTACTAGTGTACTTCTTAAAAAATTTTGCTTATATATGTTGCTGCACTATTATTGTACCAGAATCTTTGAAATTAATACAGTAAATGTAGTATTATTTGAAGAACATAAATATTTTTTTTTATGTATTTATGATGACTTTTTTAACCTGTATTTTCTGTGCAAAAATGCTTAGATAATTTATAATTGCATTGTTTCAAGACTTTTATACTTTGTTTGGCCATGCAAAGAAAATATATTTCTTCGTTAATTTGTCATCCATCCAAACATTTGTTGTATAATCTAGGTTCTCAATGGACGAGGTTGTTATCGTGGATGCTTATCCACGTGTGTGTTTCTCGATTCAATTATATTTGTTGTTGTTTAATTATAGTTATTATTTTTCATTCGTATTTACTTTGTATCGATAGACAACCATTTTCTGTATTTGTTCGTTTTCGTTTCATTCGATTCCAAGCATTATTCTCTGAGTTATGTCTGTTAGAAGCCGTTTCATGCTTCATTTCACCTCACAATACATGTATTCCTATGACAAAGAAGCACAAATCAATTTATTGTAAGCCATTTACGTAATGTTCACAAACATGCCTTTATCACAGCGAACGCAAGAGAAGTGGCAACTTTGTAGCGGATTAAGCCGAAATGTTTATTCTATAGTGACCTTCTCACATGGCACACCAATCATAGCGTTTTTCCTCCAATTTTAAAATCCGCGGTGTAATCCTATTAACCCTATATAAAGGGTGTTTTAGTGCATGTTCAGTGTGGATTGTTCTAATTGTTCTTTGATGCCAGACTTGTCTTCCGAATAAACGACGTATTAGTCTACCATAGTCTTTTGTGTTACCATTACACAATCACAGTGCTCAGCTTTTTTGGACCTGATCGAATGTGTGCGATAGACAGCCACAGTTGTAAATGTTTTTCAGTTTAAGATCAGAAATGATATCAGATTGTGATTGCATATTGTTGATGCCTTGATCAGTGAAATCATTTTATTTTGTCAAATTTTAGCTTGATCTGTTCTCTTTACATAGTGACCAATCAACCCTTTGGCTGTCTGGCAATTGTTAGAATTAAGGAACTTTCACAACATTTTTATTTTTGTATAGTAACTTCTGCTTCCCAACCAAATTCATCAGCATTTTAAAATTAGGGTTTAAATCCAAACTTGTCCCAACTAGAGAATCATGGCTAATGTGTAGTCTGAAAAAAAATGGACAATATATATATATATTTTTGAGTCGAATACATTTTTATTTTAATATTTTTATTTGCTTTAATTGTGTAAGGTCAATATCCTACATTGGCCTTCTATTACAAAGTACTGTGTGTATGGTAATTTGCATAAAATAAGGAGAAGTCTGTGGTAATTTGCATATTATAATGAAGTGAAATCAATGCTGTTCCATTTCAATAGATGCCTGTCACTTACCGTACCTCAGCATTCTGTTTGTCAGAACCATGTGACTGCTCCAAACCATGTGACTTTTGTTTGAAAATAATCTATCCAAAGCTGATGCCTCCATTTGTTGTCTGTCCAAGAGAAATAACATATGTCAAAACCATTTCAGATATCTGTAAAAATAAATTAAGAAAATTTGAATGCTTTCAAAAATGAAAGTTTGTATTTTGCTACTAGTAATTATTTTTCTTTAAAGAAAAAGTTTTGTCACAATTCTTAAAATTATAAAAAAGTATGTGCAAATTTAAAATGAGGCTAAACACTTCAGGAATATCTGTACATTGTACCCATAGTTGACTTCCTTATTTGAACTCTGTTTATCTTGATAAATAATCAGTTTTGGTTGTAGTCCTTTGAGTACAGGCAAATAGTGGAAACTGTTATATCTACCTTTTCCACATTCGGGGAATGATTTTGGTTAGCATTTTCATGCAGTGTGCACAAGTTGATAATCTATTTTCTTTCTGTAAATAGTAAATAAAAAGTCCCTCTCTCAAACTCTAGAAATAGAACTTGTGGTTTACATAATCTTTGTTGCTACACATTATTTGTACAGTGCTTAACGGTAATGCACAGGTATTTTTTTAAACAAGGGAACCAGGGGCGCAGCGCCCTCATGCCATGGTCATGCGCCCTCTTACCCTGGGGAGCAGATCCTCTGGTAACCATAAAATTCTGATTGATCAGAGATCTCATGTGGCCATAGTCTTCAACTGTGACCTGTCTGATAGTAATTTTGGCCCTAAGGAAGCCATAGAATGGCTCAATTTTAACTTAGAATTATCAAAAACTCCCTCACTTAGTGCGCCGCTGAATTGCAGTGCTCCCTCTTGCAGTTTTTTTCTAGAAAACCCCCTGATGCATAATAAAATTAATAACTATTTCATAATTGTATAATACTTAAATGTCAAGATTTATTGGAAACTCTTGTATACCTCTTATATTAATGTATGAATCATAAGTAGGTATTTATATCTTTATCCCAAAACTGTCCCTGGTTATGAGTATAGGAAGCAAAAATGTTCAAAAAAATATATATATAGATGGCAAGAATAGTTTTCTTTCAAATAGCCACTAATGAAAATGAATGATAATATTGTAATTTAATTTTTGTTACAGTGTGTTGTGCTGCTGATTTACTGGGTGTTGATAAATGCACTCGGGGTCCATCATATTGGTGCAGTCACATCAGAGCAGCCAAAGAATGTGGTGCAGTTAAACATTGCAAAGATAACGTCTGGTCAATGAAATACCAAAAAGAGGTACAAGAGTTCATCTTGATATTTTTTTCACAGTCTGATTTCTTTTTGTCAGTGGTGTCTATGGAATGTAATATCAATATTGTGATATTATGTCATTTGATTCGTTAACCTATTCATCACCATTTCCCTCACAAAAGAAAATAGTCCCGTTTATAGTCTATAGTACTTTCTTTTAGAAAATTGTGGAAAAAAATATCAAAATATTTTGGGTAAAAACTGAAAATTTATTCAAATTTTATATCCAGATTCCAAAATTAGAGTTCGTTTCCAGCAATATTGAAGAATATACGATAAAAAAAGTGCAGACCTATTTTGGCGAGAAAGCCTGGTGATGAAAAGGTCAATCATCACTGCAAAAGATGCTTTTTTGATAACAGGATGATGTCTGTAGGCGTCAACTAAATTTCACAAAATCATTGTGACTTTTTGCTTGAATACAATTTTTCAATTTTGTCTGTACACATGAAACACATAAACAAGTTTACATTATAAATAGTTGTAAATATACAACAATTGAGTTTATATTTTTTTTTTTTTCAGAATTATAACTGCTTTATTCCTACATTTCTTGATGGAGATTTTTTTTTTTCTAGAATGATGAAGTGTGTGATTTTTGCAAGGAAGTTATTGTAACTGTACGTAACCTGATCGCTAATAATGCCACAGAACAACAAATAACTGGTTTTCTGAAGTCGGCATGTGATCTTATTACTGATGCAGAACTCAAACTCATGGTAAGTTAGACAAAAATAGTTTTTTCCAGATATATTGATTATTTTGCGTTTGCTCTTTAGAGTTTACATTAACATAAGGGACAATTTGACTTTTTTTGTTTTGAGGCCTAAAATAAATACAAAAGCCAAGAACTTGGAAACGGGTATACAAAAGCTATATGAAACCGTATAAAAACAGGCACAACGAGTGTGGTATTAATACATACCTGGATTCTCTTTATATATCTAGTGTAATACGGCCGTAACTGAGTATGCCCAGGAACTATTTGACCTGATTATCAGTGAGTTGGACCCTGAAGTTGTCTGCACAGCAATGGGACTTTGTCAGCCTGCAATGTCTAATAAGATGCCAGACATGAAACCAATACTCAAGGTATGAAATGGAATTCAAGTTACTGTAGAAGTACCACAATATTGATATGCTAATTAGTGATGCTCTTGTGGAGTACAGTATATTGTAGCATAGTATATTATGTGTAGTATATTGTAGTAAAGTATGTTGTAGCATGCTATATTGTGGTGTGGTATATTGTAGCATGGTATATTGTGGCATGGTATAGCGTGGTATGTTTCTTGTTACAGTCTTCAGTCATATCATTGTTTGTATATCTCTTGTTTGTTTTGTATTGATTCTCTTCCATGACCTTGATAGTTATCATCTTGTCTAATTTCATTGTAATGTTGCCTATTTTATGCTACTATGTTCTTGCCTAAATTCTCAGAAATTTTCAGTGATACTTTTGGATCGATCTAACATATTATTGAATTTGTTACAACTAGGTGAAAAATTTATTTATTCTTGTAAAAGAAAAATTGAATTTATGAATTTAACGGTTAACTTTTGGGTTCAACAGTTTACATATATTTGTGCATTTTTATATCTTTTTCTTTAATGAATTTGGACAAAATGGACATAAATTTCATTTTGTCACAGGTTTTAATCAAAATTTGAAAAAAATCTGGAAAACATTATGCAGGTTTATTTTAGGAAGGTTACAATAGTTGACTTTTGACATCCAAAACTCTGACACCATTGTTGCCAGGGGGACCTCCCAAACCCAGGGATTGCACCAAAGAATCATGGGACAATATTGTTTATGTTGTTTACAATGTTAATCTATCTTTTGTTATCCATTGTAATAAATCCAGAAAGTAAATTTGTTGTGAGATTAGGCTTAACTGGAAGTGTACCTTTAACAGTTTGTTATTCTGGGGGCACATCTGTGTGACCACACTTTCAAAACAGGTGTTTATTGCATTTGCTAGCATAATGCGTACAACATGTGGTCACAAGATGGCGCTGTTTGCCCACTTATACATGCATATAGTAGTATACATTATTGTTAACAGAAAGTACCAAATGCAGATTTATGCACCGAATGTAAGACTGTTATTACTGAAGCAAAGCAAGCACTTGCTGATAACAAAACACGAGTAAGTACGCTTCTACTGGTTATAATACATCAATCACTTATTTATAAGAGATTTTAATAATAACATTGTTTAACCTTTTTACCACCAGTTCCCTATTTTAATCACAAATTCACAAAATAGTCCTGTTTATAGTCACACTTTCCTTCAGAAGATTGGGACAAAAATTGTCAAATTGAATTTAAGCTGAAAATTTACTCAAATGTTGTCCAAAATTATGATTTATTTCCAGATATATTGAAAAATATAAGAAAAGTGCAGAATACTCAAAAGACAAATCCTGTTATCAGATCATGGAGTGGATAAAAAACACACATTATTGTGAACATGACCTGCTTAGAAATGCATGTTTTTGGGAGTTGTCCAGGCAGTCAGCCATTTTCAATTGCATCAAAACATAATAAAAAGCTTGTGCATAGGTCATTTATCAACCAATTCCCCAAGTTTAAAGAAAAAGCTGCCCATAGAAGTCCGAGAAAATGAAAATTGCCCTAATCCTAAACCCTGGGTTGAAAATATGGCTATTCTGTTACAGTTAGAGAAATGATACTATTTTGTGTGACTTTCCTGTAAACAGGAGGAGATCTTAGAAGTCTTGGAACAATTGTGTCAACAGTTGGGCCCGTTTGAAGCTGAATGCGATGACTTCATGAAACAGTACATCCCTCAGTTACTGGATTTGCTCGAAGCTCAATTGGTAAGATAAAGGTTTTACACCACAATTAGAGATGTGAACAGCCTAGAATTTAATTCCCTTCAGTTTAAAACATTCACCAGGGAACTTATACAGAAAACGATATAAAACTGTTATAAACATTTTGTAAGTGTATATTATAAATCAAAATGGACGGATACAAATTAACCAATCCACAAATAGTATTGTGACATTTACGTTAGTTTTAATACATGTTAATGATAGTTCAACATTATTCAATCAGCAAGCCCCTTATTTTGAATACATGTGGTTGGTTGCAGTTGCTGTGTCATGTAAAGGAATGTACGCTCATTATGGACGTATACAATGTTTAGCTCTTGAGCCAATCACTATTGAAATTTTGCATTTGAATGAACATTGGTGATTGGCTTTTTACATTGAAAACAAGGAATAGAATTCCCCACTACATGGCTGAATAAGTGACTCACTTTAAATAATGAGTTAATGTCTAAATATTATTTTATTTGAATTTCAGGATCCTGAAGTAATCTGCCAAGCTCTAGGATTTTGTTCAAGTGTGATGAAAAAGAAATTAGTAAGCAACCGTGGACTCTCTAGAAGGGTAGCAAATAATGGTGCTTGTGTACTATAAACCAAACACAAGTGTATGCACTATAGGGTGCTTGTGTACTATAAACAAAACACAAGTGTATGCACTATAGGGTGCTGGTTTACTATAAACAAAACGTGTATGCACTAACCATTTTTGAGTTGTCTAGTTTACATGTTCACAATATTAGGACTGATTTCATTTGACAGCTTTTTAAAAGTTAACCACCAATCAGATTGCATGGTTATCACAAATGTATTTGAACTAGGTGCCTTGTACGGGGTACTGGTATATATAACTGTAAAGTTTTCAATATACAAATCTAGTTTATATCGATTATATAATTTTTGCACATCATTTGTCTACATTGTCATATTCATGTCCATGTGTTGGTGCTATTCTTTGTAATCTTTGTTTTGTTTCCTGTCTGTGTGAGAGTGTTAAAAATACGGTTCCTCTGACCAAAACTGAGACTAGGCTTTATGTAAACCAGGATCAACTTTTATGATAGTACAAATTTCCCTGATTTAAGGAGTTTGTGCAGCTCATTGTTGCTTTGTTTTTCGTATAACCCAAGTAAAATTGTTAATTCCACATAATTTGTTGTATTCTCCATTTATTACAGATCTTACCAAGTATTGAACTAACACCCGCCAAGAAAATGAAGAATGTAGATGCTTCTGTTCAGTGCATTGTCTGTGAGTTCGCCATGCAAGAAATTGATAAACTCATTACTCAGAATTCCTCAGCTGTAAGTATAGCATTTCCCACACAGCAAATTTTTTCGTCTGACTGAAAATTTAAAAATTTAAAATTTTTCCTATCAGCTGTTTGAAGATTTCTTTTAATGGCTTTCCTTGTGCAGTTCTGATGACTGCTAACAATATGTAAACATTCATTATTTTGTAAGGCTTCCCTATGTCATTCTGATGACTGCTAACAATATATAAACATTCATTGTTTTGTAAGGCTTCCCTATGTCATTCTGATGACTGCTAACAATATGTAAACATTCATCGTTTTGTAAGGCTTCCCTGTGCAGTTCTGATGACTGCTAACAATATGTAAACATTCATTGTTTTGTAAGGCTTCCCTGTGCAGTTCTGATGACTGCTAACAATATGTAAACATTCATTGTTTTGTAAGGCTTCCCTGTGCGGTTCTGATGACTGCTAACAATATATAAACATTCATTGTTTTGTAAGGCTTCCCTATGTCATTCTGATGACTGCTAACAATATGTAAACATTCATCGTTTTGTAAGGCTTCCCTGTGCAGTTCTGATGACTGCTAACAATATGTAAACATTCATTGTTTTGTAAGGCTTCCCTGTGCAGTTCTGATGACTGCTAACAATATGTAAACATTCATTGTTTTGTAAGGCTTCCCTGTGCGGTTCTGATGACTGCTAACAATATATAAACATTCATCGTTTTGTAAGGCTTCCCTATGCAGTTCTGATGACTGCTAACAATATATAAACATTCATTGTTTTGTAAGGCTTCCCTGTGCAGTTCTGATGACTGCTAACAATATGTAAACATTCATTATTTTGTAAGGTTCTTTAATGTGTTCTCTCAATGTTTTTTATTAGATTTCACAGAAATGGTTTATGCACGATTTTCAGTCGTCTTTGATAAACTGATTTACATTCAGTCTGGTGTAGCCATTCAAAACAGAAAAATTTTTCTGACAATATTTAGTGGGGTTTTCTATCACTATTGATGAGACTTTTGCTCAAGTACAATAAACAATTTTGTTATGGGTTTAAAACATGTAAAGTATATTCCCTTAAAGGGGAAGTCCTGCAAACAACATAATACTCTCAGATGAAAGAGCTCCACAAATGCAGGAGAATGCATGTTACAAAAAATAGTTCTCATCATTCATGGTCAACAAAACCATCAAGATAATTTAACTTCTATCTATGTTTTAACTCGCAACATCATTAGTCTACTACATTTATTTTGTTTCTTTTCTAGTCTGAAATCATTTCTGTTGTTGACAAAGTTTGTGAGATTTTGCCGTCTACTATACGTGGTGAATGCAAGAGTTTCGTTGATGAGTACGGACCCGCCATCATTCAGTTACTTGTACAAGAAGTATCACCTGATAAAATATGCTCCATGTTGAAACTGTGTATGGCTGTTACTCTTAAAGGTAACTTAAATGAGCCTGGTTTAGTTAATATGGTTAATGTTTAATGGTAACTTAATCAGACCTTGTTTATTTGATATGGTTAATGCTCAAGGGTAATTTAAACAGACCCTGTTTATTTAATATGGTTAATGCTTAAAGGTAAATTAAACAGACCCTATTTGATTTGCATGTGAGAAAACATCAGTGATAATGTCATGGTAATTCAGTACGCAGTGTTTGAGTAATAATTAATATTTTTTCATGGACCACACAAACCGTATCCAGTCCATAAAAGTCCATATCATACCTTATAGAGCCTTTTAAAAATAAATGTTTTAAACTGCTGGTTTTCATTCATTTCGGTTCTTAATCTTATTTCTGCCATTTATTCAAACGTACAGTGCGGATTGGTATTTCTGTGGCTGCGTGATGTGCTCACAACTTTGATGCTCTAAATCTCTAAATAGAATGTTTGCTCAAATATGATGAAACTGGGTGGGGCTGGGCTGTGATATAAAAAATTATTGCATGGCTCGCTCACTAGGTTTTTTGTAGCATTATGAGGCTGGGCAATACAAAGGTATATAATAAGGAACAAGTTTGATAATGGACCATAAAATATAACTTGTGAAAATTTATATTCAGTTAGATGAGCGTTTTTGAAGGTTTCCTTGTTTTCACTTTATTTTTTTTCCCCAATAGCAGATACCGAGTGTAACCTTTGTAAATTGGTAATTCAGTATGCTGACAGTGTATTAATTAAGAATTTAACTCAACAAGAGATTATTAAAGGTCTTCATGATTTCTGCAATGTCCTGCCAGACAATCTGAAAAGCCAGGTAAAGTTTGAATTCTACTAAAAATTTCACATTTTTAGATACCATTGTCACCAAAAATCATGACAAATATAATTCTTCATCGGATTTCCCACTGGTTGGGAGATATTTCTTTTTGCATATGAATGTAAATTAAATTGTTTGTTTTG